CCCCCCCCCAGGTTGGGAATCACTGCTCTCTAGACGATATAAGAGTTGCTTAAATACTTCCCTTATTATGTTCTCTAGCATGGGATGCACTGGACCATCCTTTACGGAAAGAAAGGATCAAATGTCGTCCATTTGAAGTGACGCACCATTCTGAAGTTCAACGATAAACATCCCATCGTGACCAACAAACGCGTATCATGTAAGCTATGGTGCTTATTAAGCATTTGCCTTCTTAAGCCATATCTTGCCAACGGTGATCTCTGAATGCAGTCGGATTCTCTGAGCACTGCCTCCTAAATCCTGATGACCTTTCCTTAACGTCTTACCTACATCCCATTGTTTTTCACTGAAGTCAAGGACAATAGGATAGGAAAAGGCAAAGGACCTGATTATTCTTTTTCTATTAGACCACAGCACGAGTATCCCTTCTAGCACCAACAGTGTTCAGGATGTTTATCTAAAGCTATACCTGACCTCTGACCTCCGTAAAGGCAACAAGTATTTCTATTAATTTGCATTTTAAGTGAAGTTAAGTTCATTGCAATAACATGAGTAGGTTTGATTTTGAGATGAATGACTAACAGGAATTAGCTGACCTGCTCCTAAGTCTGAGCGAGGCCTATAGCTGGAGTGCTTTGAGAGTATTCATCTGTCTCTCTAGTAACCACCAAAGACTCCAGTAGAAGAAAATGAGAAATGCTGTTTTATAATGAGAGCCCTAGGCAAAGACATACAGAGACATGTCTTTTAAAAAAATCTGTCATTATATATTCTCCTGGTAATACTGCAGAAGGAGAAGCATACTAAGAACTTGCGCTCTTTGAAGAAGTCCAGGCAGCTCTTTAATGTTTGGGATAGTACTCGAGTTTCCCTGTGATATAGGAATATTATATCCTGTCATCTGGTGCAATCATGTAAGCAGAAATGGTTCCTTTCCACATGAAACAGCCTGGATACAGACATAATCAACCATGGCTGTAAACAAGGTGGACGTGTATAATGTGACCACACTAGATACAAGGAAGAAAGAGAAAACTATTACAAAAGCTGGTGCAACTTCTGGGTGTTTTCTAGACTTAAGTAACCCCTTAAATGGATGGTTCAATAAGTGTCATGTTAAGGTTTATACTCTGGTTGATATTTCTCACCCACTTTGCGGTGTACTGAT